TGAGGAAATGGAGCATACCGAGAAAAACAACTTTTAGAGGGGAAAAACCAAATTAAGCATGCAACTCAAACCTTTGAAGAAGGGTGGAGGTCTCCCAATTGAGATTCCTCCTTGGAACCAGCATGGTAGAATGGATGGATCATTGCAGCCAGGAGAAGCTGGCTTTGAGGATGTGCACGGCAGGGGACAGGGGCTCTCCAGAGGATGCAGCCCCTGGAGGTAGAAGTTGCTCTGGCATGTGCAGTGAGGTCTTAGAATTGGCCAGTCAAACAGAAACAATTCTATAGAGCACCCCACTCACACAAGGCCAATCAGTGACTGTGATGGGCCAGAAGAAACAAGAGAACTCTGTGACTGCATCTGAATGCAGACAGAACCACGGACACTATCCAAACCATGACATCAACTAAACATCTCGCTCTCCTGATGGCTGCTTCTTTAAGAATAGAAGATTCAGTTTTGCTTTCTGCCTCCGAGAGCTTTACCAAGATGCTGAGTTCTAGTATTAGCTCCATTTTCTGACAGCAAAGCCCTTCTCTTTTTGGGTTCTGTCTAGATCACCTAACTCAAGCCTATATCCTTTATTTCTATACTGGAGAGTGAACCCAGGCCCTTATGTACGTGCACGCTAGGCAAGTGCTCTAGTACTGAGCTGCACCCACAACCCTTTTTATTTTACTCTGCGACAGGGTCTCACTGAGTTGTCCAGGCTGGCCTCAGATGCACAGTCCTCCTGTCTGTGCCTTCCAAGTAGCTGGGATTACAGGCATGTGCCCACTATGCCTGGCGCTTGAGCCTATATTCTGTGACAAATCTTTTCAAACACCTTTTTACTGAAGTGCTCATGGTTCTCTAAAATGTGTGATTTTCTGGGTCAATAAAACCAACTACAATTATCTGCAGGTAGTGGTTTCCTGGGGTCTTTGACTGGAAGACATTTTGATGGTTCTATAATTCTCTATCTCTCTCTGTATACATACATAATATATATATATATAATCTCTAT